TACAATAAATTTAAATATACTTACGCTTTGATTGGCTGATTATGTATCATGTGACCTGTGACAAAAATGTTATGTAACGGGGTGCAACAAATAAATTTATCCTAATAATTAATTCAAATTTAATAATTCTACTATATACTATTAATATTAAAAAACATATTCTACAACTTTGCTTAAAAAACTTAGAAATAGTTTACTTAAGCTATTTCTAAATATTAAATGTAAAAAGTACTATTAAAATCATAATAAATAATCTAAACATACTCTTAAGTTTTTGAATAAAAATTTAAACACGTATTATATATTTTAAAAAAATATTATTAACTTTATTAATTTTTTTCTTTTTAAATTTTGAAATCTTTTAATAACAATTTAAAATTCATGCTTTAAAATTTTTACCATATTAATTCCTTATCGGTTAAACTAATTAGTTAAATTATTGTCTATAGAAAATATGTTAAGTAAAAATATCTTTTGTTACATATACATTTTACGCTGAAAATTCATTTTTCAGAGAAGGTTTCTTGAATTCATAAAAGTGAGGCCTAAATTAAGCAAATGATTAGTATCCTACATGAAAAAATTTTTCAAAATATGTAAAAAAAAAAAAAAAAAATAAGGATGCTTAACGCTAGCTCTGCCAGCCAGGCAGGATCGATCACAGTGAGATCACGCATAAAAGCTTTGGTAGTTTCTACAACTAAATAACCAGTAAACAAACTTAATTTTCGATTATCGAAGTCAAATCATCGATAGTGAATAATCTATTACCTTCATGAAAAATGACCCATGGAGCATTTCGCGTAAATAGTACTGAAGACGGATGAACGTATAAGACCTTAAGGAGGAAAGAAATAATATTCATCATAGTACTTCAACAGAAATAAAAAATTAACATTAAAGAGACGTACAACATTATCCCTAATAGTTCTGAAAGACCCATCCGGCATCATTTTGGCAGCCTGAGAAAAGTATCCACTAATAAGACATTTTCTTATTTTAACAGTGTCGTTACCACATGATTCAAGTGGTACTTCGAATCTGTCAAGATATTTTTTCAAATGCTGACGAATAGATAATGCTCGCGAAAGCGCACGAAAATTTAAACAGTGTTTATGACACCACCTCGCTGATTTCTTTCCACGAGTAATAAACGCATTGAATAC